AAGATGCACACACACACGCACACACACACATACACACATACTGGGGTCGTCACAATATGTGTTTTTGCATATTGTGTAAAAATGCATAAAAACCCAGACTGCAGCACACTAGGCTCGTCAGTGTGACCATGCATTTTCGCGCTGAGCTTGCAGATCGTTAGCAGCAGGAATGGCTCATGAGCTGTAGTTTATTACTTGTGCGAATGTTGGCTGTGTTTTGACCCCTCCACACACAAGGGGAAAGAGCACCAGCAGTTATGGAGGTGTTTCATTGTGGGGCCGCATGGGTCCTCAGCGTGCGTGATTATCAATTTTTTGCATGAAGCGCGGTCATTTTTTCATGACTGCGTGTTCATTGAGAAAATGCAAATTTGAGAGACATAGTAAGAGGATTATGAAAGATGCGAAATGCACTCGCTTTTGACTTTGCGATAAAACTGAGCATTTATCATGTTTGCGCGCACGGAATGAATTAAGACCTATGCGAATATAAAATATTCTTGCAAAGTTTCTGCTTCGCAATTTGTTCGGTAAGTGCAATAGCCACTTCGTTGCAAAAATGTTTGAACTGCCGGAAATCGTGGCGCAAATGCAAGTTGAAGCTCAATTTATGATTTTCTATGCGAACAACATATGTTCTGGCAAAATTTTAGCTACTGCTTTCCGGCTAGTCTTCGAGTTAGTGTAGTACCAAACTGCGAAATTTGACGTGACTGTACACATGGTGTAGGAACCTTTAGATCATACATGCACAGAGAATATCCCTGCAACGTTTCAACTTTCTATCTTGTCTGGATTACGAGGTCGTTCCCCGCCAAAGAAATTTGCATATTTCTTTCGGTGGTTCTTATACGAAATCTAGGCGCGTATGAGCGAAGATTTTAAAACACGAAAGTGACACATAGGATAGGAATATGCCCCTAAAATTTCAGCCACCCAGCTTGCTGGTTGCCGAGTTAAAAGTGGGTGACAAAGTCCACTCGCTTCCGAACACATACAAACGGACGACCTCTCGACAGTGTGTGTTACATTTGTTCCCCCTTCCCTCCCCCCCCCCCCCCCCCCCCCCCCCCCCCCCCCCCCCC